GGGGGAGGGCGCAAGTGGATGGCGCGACTGAGTTCGCACCTGGCGCTCCGCCGCACACTCCCTGGTCCACGCAATAATTGACCAGGATTTTAACTGACAACAGCAACATCAAGAGGGACGAGGAAAACTAAGCAGCCAAGTCACAATAATAATACTAGGCTGATAGAAGCGAACAGGCGAGTCCCAGGTAGCAGTTCAGGAGATGAAGATGCGATCACTGGGACAAGAAGTTTATTTGGCTGACGTTTCGGATTCTCACTCGAATCCATCATCAGACACATTCGCAGATAGAGGTGAAGGTGGCACCAGGAGTGCAGTATTTATAGCACGTGGCTGCCGTGGGACCGTATGCGCACTGCAATTAACAGTTCTCACAATCGCCGCTGGGGTCGTAATTGATGCGGCGGTGGCTTGGCGGTCCGAGTCCGAGTTGTTAATTGCCGCGATTTCGTCGTCCGTGCTCGATGCTGGTGTGACGATTGCTCGGCAAACTGGCTCACTGTCACCGTGATAATTGCTCACCCGCGACCTCCCCACGTGACTGATTCTCCTGCTCAGGGAAAATCGCAATACGGAATAGGGCACCGGGAGGTCATTGTGTTTGTTGATGGATTGCGGGCCTGAGAACCATGACTCGAGCAGCTCGCGGCTCACGCGGTTGTCACCCCTTGCGAGGATTTCGGCTTCTTGAAATTTGAAAATATGGCCGGGTCCCGTCGAGTGTGCCGCCACCTGAAAGTTAGCATCTCCCCGCCTCACTGCTGCTGCGTGTTCGGCAAGTCGCGTACGGAGTAATCTCCCAGTTTCTCCGACATAATTGCTTTGTCCGCAATTACACCAGATCCGGTAAACGACTCCAGACGTTTCCTGCCGTGGCAGCGGGTCTTTTGGCCTCATTACTTGGCGCCTAATGGTTGCTTCCGGCCTGTGTGCAACCCCCACTCCAAGTGGGGTAAGAAGACGACTGACGGCTTCCGAGACGTTCTTCACGTACGGAAGAGCCCGCCAAAATTTGGGGCTAGTTGGATTTGGTCTCTGGTGTCCTTTTCGTATGCACTGGTTGACAAAGTTGCGCGGGTAGCCATTGGCTCTCATTACCCGTCGAAGATATTGTAATTCAGCAACCTTGTCTTCCATTTCACTGCAGTGCGTCTCAACACGCCGGTATAGCGCCCTTACGCAACTGCGTTTGTGACTGATCGGGTGGTTGCTATTGAAGTTCAGTATTTGCGTCGTATTTGTCGCTTTCCTGAACACTTTGGTTTTTTAGGCCACCACAATCTCGGACTCGGACCGCCAAGCCACCGCCGCATCAATTACGACCCCAGCGGCGATTGTGAGAACTGTTAATTGCAGTGCGCATGCGGTCCCACGGCAGCCGCGTGCTATAAATACTGCACTCCTGGTGCCACCTTCACCTCTATCTGCGAATGTCTCTGATGATGGATTCGAGTGAGAATCCGAAACGTCAGGCAAATAAACTTCTTGTCCCAGTGATCGCATCTTCATCTTCTGAATAATACTAGGCCTTCATTGCGCATGTTATCATGAGCAATTGTTAAGAAGAGGTTCGCAGACGAACCACCTCCGAGCACCAGATTGAGATCCGTGGTAGGCTGACCTGGCCTACTATGACGAGCATGATTCCTTATCGCAGGCTAGTGACTAGTTGTCATCCATACAAGCACAATATTCAGTTTACGGGTAAGCACAGAATTGCTGCACTTCGGACTAGTGCTTGTGTGAGCCCCCACGTGCCTCGTGCAAGGTGGGGACGACTGTCGAACATTCACATGTCAGAAACAACAGCTACTCCAGCTGACTATATTCAGCGTGCGCCTAGATCCCAACAGCAATGCGGCAGGTGTATACAGCGTTGGCTAGGGGATGGGCCCGCATGTCAAAAGCGTCCCACCCCCCACCCCCACTACGTAGTGCGTAGGCTGTCGTGGCTAAGAAAGGACTTTGATCCGAATAAGAAGCATACATCAAATGAATTTAGGCTGAAAACGCAAAACAGGAAGGTCGCTGTCTAGCGCACACAGACTGATAAATGAGAAAAGAGTGGACTGGGACTACCAAGATTGACTACGTAGTTTAGCTGCTTGCATAGGTCGGCGTTTACCCGACGAACGTATTCTCAGATTGGGTCCGACACTGGTTCCCGACGGCATAACTTACAGCTTACGCGATGCTTAGGGGACACATGATACAACAGAAATCGAAACCAGATGACACGGAAGAGGAGGCAGCCCAAAATCGACTTCGAGCATCGACTCCTACACGCTGCCTGTCTTTTCTGAAGGACTTCAGCATTAAATAAATATAAATAAATAAATTTTCATTTAATGCCAGTTTACAGGCATTGTCAAGGGAAGCGTTTAAACATAAATCCGACCGGCAGTGAAAAAAACTCCTGAGCTAAAGGGATAAAAATATAGTTGATGGTGGTTTTTATGGTTTGAAGGGCTCAGGAGAAAAAAACTGCCGGCGGTGGTAGAATATCGACCGTCAAGAAGGGGGGAGGTTGCACGGTATGGGAGATTTTCGGACGTTAAATTCCTTTCATGAACTTGGGGATAGCCAAAGTAGAGGCGTTGAGGAACGGCTGGTGAGACCGGCCATAGTGTTCAGAGACCACAAACGCCGTCGCTACGGTACAGTCGATCAGAGTTTTGAGCACCCAAAATTTGTGAGAGCTTTTCTGAATGCAAAAATCGAGTAATAGTTCTCTTAAATAAAGGAAAATTTTGCAGAGTTTTCACACTCATGGGTAGTTTATTCCAAATAGCAATTGCATTTACAGAAAAGAACCGACGATATTTAACAGTACGTGCCAGAGGCAGAAATAAGAAGACCTCACGGTGACTGTTACGTCGTGGGTGGATATGATGTCTTAAAGAAGTGAGTGGGTTAAATGTGTGATTATATAAGAGTTTAAATAGCAAGAATAGTCCCTTTTGTAATCTACGGAACCATAAAGGATCAAGGCCCGTAAGCCGGCAACCTTCTTGATAAGACAAATGTCGGTGTTCCGGGGTTAAAATTCTCTTGGTAAAAAAGTGTTGAACGGATTCTATTTTCTTCCGCTCAGTAGCACGCATGAGGCTAAATAAAAACGAACAGTATTCCAGACCAGGTCTAACGTACATGTTGAAAAGGCGCATTCTAATGTCCCTAGTTTTCAAATTTCGGAGGATAAACCCGGTCGTTCTGCGTGCTTTGGAGACTATCAAGGCACAGTGCTCCGAGAGATTGAGGTTCTTGGAGTATGATATGCCCAGATAGTTTATAACCCTGGGCACATTTATGGAGTGACCTTCAATATTTAGTTGAGGTTGGTGGTCGTCGCCAACCACCATGACTGAGCATTTATGCCAAGAAAGAGAAAGGCGCCATGTGCGGCACCACTGGGCGAAAGCCTGTAGATCGCTCTTTAGGAGCTCAAGCACGATGTCATGATCTGCCGGCTTATATCGATGTGTAACTTTAAGATCCTTGGCATACATGAAAGGCTTACCATTCTGGAATAAATCGGGTACATCATTAACGAAAAGGCAAAATAAAAGCGGGCCGAGTACACTACCCTGAATGACTCCACTCCTCACACGTGCGGGTTTGGAGATGGTATTGGAAATCTTAACTCGTTGTGTGCGAGTGCCCAAATAAGAGGATATAAAATTCAAAAGTTTGCCACCTATTCCGAAAGAGGACAGTTTTAAGAGAAGAAGAGCATGGTCAACACGATCAAAAGCCTTAGTGAAATCGAAATATACTGTGTAAAGAGCAAAACCATGGTCCCTAGATTGGAGAACATAGTCCAAGAAAGAGAGTTGACAGGTGTCACAAGATCGAGCTTTGAGGAATCCATGCTGAGCAACACTCAGTAAGTTATTCGCTGTTAAGTGACACATCATCTTATCTTTGATCAATGTCTCTAAGATCTTCGAAACTGCGGGGAGGATGTTTATTGGCCGAAAGTCATCAAATGATGTAGATTTGCCGTGCTTAGGAATGGGCAAAATGTGTGATTCCTTCCACAATGTAGGATAAGTTTCACTTTCAAGAGCGAGATTAAATATCTTGCATAAGAGGGATGGGAAGATCGTGTTTGCATCGGCTTTTAAAATGCTTACTGGGACACCATCAGGGCCTGGACTATAAGATTGACGAAGACGCCGAATCGCAACAGTCACATCCCACAGAGTGAAAGTTATCGTTTCTAGAACTGCCCCGGTCAATGACTGGATGGTCGGAAGCGGAGTGGTCGAGTCTTCAATAAACGTTTTTGACAGGAAATCATTGAAGCTATCCGCGGTTAACTGGGCATCAACTATGGGATTTCCGAGATCGTCTCGAAGGATGGGATACTGCGTCTTTCTCTGAGTTCGTATTTTTCTAGAGAAAAGTTTCGAGACATTTAACGAATGGTTTTCGGACGGCCTCATATAATCCCGGGCATTCACGATATACGACCAGGACTCTGTAGGCCAACATGACTAAGTATTTGGTTTGGAAGTCCATCATAGGCCAGGCGACGACGAAATACCCGACTGCCGTGCTCCCAGTCCCTACAGACCACATAGGAGTGGCGTTCACTCATGTGCGCCGATTAAGAAGCGGACCAAGGGAGTCCACATTCGACTTTGACCTCTATACTAGAGTTTCCACAGACGGTCACATAGCGACAACGCCCAATGATCGAGGGCGGTATTGGTAAGAAACGATCAGGTCCGCGGAGTGCTTAAAATCCAAGTTATCGGCAGCCTGTATTGGGAAACCGCGGATCTGATGAAGACAGTGCGTCCGAAACAGCCGCCATAACGCATACCTTGTACCGGCCGGCAGCGGCAATCGTTGAAAGCAAAAAATTCCAGTTCCAGGACACACTGTAATTGCACAGACTCTTAGGATATTTACACAAACTATCCAGACGTCCGATAGAGGGAAAGAAGGGAATTTGGAGGGGGCGAGCGGGATGCAGGAAAGGGCGCGGTTTGCTAGTGGGCCAGACGTGGAAAGACAGAGAGCGTGTTCTGGTAGACCGTCTCGGCCAGCTCATCCTCGGAGATGCCATGAACGGCAGCCACGACCTCCAGCACCTGTACAATATTGGCTGGCTCATTCCGGCCCGCAACCATGCATTTGGCGTCCCATTTGTTTGGTTTCTTCCGTTCAAACTTTGTCTTCACGTACTGGTAACCTGCAAGGCAGTAGTGAGAAGTCAAGGATGAGGAATTACCTGCGTGAGTCGGCCGGATGTCGCACCATGGTGCGTCGGTTTCCAGAAGAATGCGTTCAACCGGCACCTCCGAGACTACCTAGCAAAAATATCAAAGAAAAGTAGAGAGACTTGAGCGGGTGTTACCTTCGACAACAATCGACTGATTAGCCAGAGGCTTGGAGTGAAATGTCAAATAGGCCATTTCTAACAGCCAACAGCTACTTAGGCGATATCTAGTCCTCACATTGAAGGTCCAAATGAGTTCCCAGACAAATTATAAAGAATCAAACTCGAAACCGATGAGATAATGGTATCATGCGGTGTGATCTCACCTTTTAACTCACAAACGGATTTGTACTTACAGCCTGCTAAATCGAGCAAAATAAGATACCTTTTTCAAATATTGCCCCAAGCGAGTACAACGTTGACTTTATGCGTCAATGCATAAAACATCGAGAGTGAGAGGGAAAGGCATTTTCAATGCTACGCTCGCGTTTCATAGGTGAAAAATTATCTGACCTTGTCGAAAGACACCTGAAGAAAAATTAAGATACAGATAATACACCGACCCCCAACTAACTTACGCACACAGCTTGTACAACTCAAGGACAGGGCTGGCTACCTTGATAGAATGAGTGCTGTCTACTAGGTTCTATTTGTCATTCGTGATGCTGCCTATTGCGGTGAAACTAGAAAGTCTGCCTCCACACGTATACGTGAACACCAGCTAGCGGTGAAGAGAGGAGGCCATATTTCCAAAGTGTCCATGGGCACTGGGCACAAATTTGCTGGCGCCTGCCCAATAAAGGAAGACCGTGAATTCCTAGAGGCAGTGCACTCGGACGAAATTTGTCAGGGGAAAATAACTTTTATTGCGTAAATTTTCAAGACAGTCCCCTCCCACCCCCAGGTGGTCGTCTGGCTATGGGTGATGTGCAAAAATAATTAGTTAATTGACAGTGTCTAACAAAGGATTCTACGGTTGGTCGAAGTCTGCGTCAATACGCGTCTATTGTGCCGTCATCTCCATAAGAATGACTGCATTCGTTTCCACATGGACAAATCTCGTTACAGGACATTCTAATTTCAAAGAATTAAGGCGGAACCCTCGCACTTGGAATCTATCGGAAGACAACAAATGCTGCAAAACGCTCCACTACGACAACAATCATCTAACAAAAAACCGCAGCTGCGTACGGATGACTTTTCGACGGATTAACGAAGATTGCAGTATAAATTATTAAAAGCTGCGGGGTCGGAGGTATTTCCGGGGTCTTAATTTCCAACGAATACCCTTCTATCGAAGACAGGGTCGACAGTCAGATCCTGGGTATTTCGTGCCTTTGGTACACACCAGGAGGCCTAGAAGCCTCTGACGCTTGATAAGGCCGATAAACTTGACTGACTACAGACAACGGCTCGCCACCAACTGAAGCAGCTCAAGGATCGGCTAACAAAAGTCAACATGCAGTGGTCTACCGCATTAGTGACCGCAGGTGTCCGGCAGGTTTTTTTCGGAGGGAGCAACAAGGGTTTGACAACACGAATGCAGGAGTACGAGCTGGTCGTGAGACGGGAAAACGTGAACTCACGCGCCGCCGTGCGTCAACTTCAGGACGATCGTCGATCAGCTTTTGGTGGCGCACAAGTACTCAGGCGAGCCGAAAACAAAACGGCTCGGCAGACAATCCGACCAGTCGCCGACATGTGAAACTGTACGCCCACCACCTCAACGCAGATAGAGGGGCTAATGAGATGGCACACAGAGGGACCTGCGGGAAACCTGCATTTTTAAACACTATCGCCGAGGAGGTTAAATAGCAGCGTTAAACATTGGGGCTCTCTACCCGAGTTATCTATTAGAACGGCTTGATCCGTAGGTAGAAAAAAATACAACTGGCCCGAAAGTGCCTAGCCAAAACACCTGTTTCATTCATGCCTACAGTCTGACAATGCTAATTTTAGGTTTGCGAAACCAACCGCCACCTCGTTATCGCACTAGTTGAAAATGATAGAAAACGCTCGTCGGCTGTTGTTTGCCCTTTTGGAGAACTAGAAAACGAAGTATACCGTTAAGATGAATGACAGTTAAGGCGTTTGTGTAAGCCTGTTAGATGTTTGCGTATGTCATCTGTTGGAGGGGGGGGGGGGGGCTCTAAACGAAGGCTTCCATTTTGGATCGAGGCATGTCCCGCCTGCTAGACGGGTACCTGGACGCTGATAAGCGGCAGCTGTCGACAAGAAAAGACAAAACAACATTACTGCAGCATTCCCGACATGGATTCGTTGAGCATTTCCGAGCACCGCCCAATACAGCACTCCACCCACTACTCAAGCTAAAGACGCAAGCTGGTCGAGATACTCACTGTCGAGTGCGGAGGACGAGGATATATTAACTAAAAACCTAATAGATAAATACCTGGGACAAACGGTCATGGCATAAATGGGATTTGCCCGTTTTGGGCACAAGGAGAGGGCGTGGATGCCAGATAAGGCTGTATTCTTAGTTCTGGCATTATGCGGGCATTTTGGTCATGCAAGACGCTGTTCAATTCCCGAGAGCTTCGAGTGGGTTGCAGATATCATATCGACTGGAAACTTACAGTTGGTGTGCTATCTCATGAAATGTTGACGGAAATTCTGACATGTGTTTTCGATTCGAAAGTGTAACCTAAGAAGGCCTGTAATATTAATGATCGTGCAGCAGAATTGCAAGATATTTCAGTCATGTCAGGGTGCCGGCTTTTGAACGGACTTCCTTACCGATCGTCTGTAAAAACCACACTGCAAAAAATAACTCACTGAGTGGGACGCATTTTTCACATTGATTTTTGACGCCCTTATAAACTCAAATATATTTTCTAGAAACCATGCAAAAAATATTTTTGCGTCTCCCTTAATTTTATACATGATTTAAAAGTCTAATTTGATATTGAAAACTCTCTGATTCCGAATAATTTTAAACCCAACTTGACTTTTCACTTACATTCAGAGTTTCAGGACTACAAACTATGCATTCTTCGTGCTAGGAAAATCGTACATTCTTATAGGCTATTGAGTAGATACCAGATGAAATTCATAAGGCCTTGCAGTGAGTTCAACCGTATTGTATGCTTTATAAAAAATTAATACATGTGGAGATAAGATTCTTTACGAATGGACATTCTACGGTCTTAAAAAAGCTCGCAATTAGAAACTTTTTAAAGCCGAAAGATACTCTTTTTCACGTATAAAATTTAAAGACGTAATTTGCTACCAAGTGAGTGAAAGAACGGATATTTCTGTGCATGTTTTCTAGAAAATATAATTGAATTTATAAGGGCATCCAAAGTCGATGAGAAAAATGCATACTACTCGAGTGGTTATTCTCACTGTATGTTTTGCAGACGGTCAGAAAGATGCTCGTTCAAAGGCCGGCATCCTCACGCGACTGAAATATTCTGAGAGTCTACAGCACGATCACTAGCTTACAACCCTACTTAGGTTATCTTTTGTAAACGAAGAAGCATTTCATAATTTCAGTTTACATTTCATGAGATAGCACACGTATTGTACTTAGGGGAACGTACTTCGCCCTTGGTCCCAGTCGCCGCCTACCATAAATTTGGAGACAACTGTGGTCCCAGGCCGTTATAGGGCGCGAATTCGGCAAGCTGATTGGGACAAAGAAATATCATGAATTCAAGCGCCAAAGTAACACTAGCTTACCTTCAAATTCTCAGGCAGCTTCAAGCTGCACCCATTGAAACCAACGTACAGTCCAAGATTGATGAAGTCAGAGGCCTGCTCAGCGGTTCCATCAAATGTATGCACTACTCCTGTCACAGGTTCAAACTCGGAAATATGCTTCCGCAGAATGTTCAGCAGGTCAGTGTGAGCGCGTCGACAGTGCAGAAAGAGGGGCAAGCCGGTGGTGTGTGCCAAGTGCAGTTGTTTCTCAAAGTACGTTCTCTGCACGTCAGCGGGACAGAAGTGTTCTCTTGAATGTCATACTAGACTACCGGTAAGAATGGGATCAGTACCGATCATAATCCAGACCACATTCACCAACAGCTACCACCTTGTCGGGGTTGTCTTTGATACAGCTCTTCAGCTGGTCATAGCAGGCAGTGGGGTCCTTTGCAAAGTCCTGGCAGTGTGTCGGATGAATGCCCGCAGTAAAGAAAAGGTGCTCATCAGAGGCACAGAGCGACTTGGCGACGACTAGGTCCTCCAAGCAACCTGGAATCAGAAAAGTAAAAGGAATATCGAAAAGGGCGAAGCGCTAACCACAGGTTACAATGATTTTCTCCAGGCCTGCGTTATAAGCCCGCAGAAGAACCTCCCTGAGATCACCGGTGTGTTTTTGAGAACCGTTATATATGCCGGAGAACATTAAGTCGGTCAGATTCGCACCAATGTCGATGAATTTCCGTGCCGACATAGTGAAGTCTGCCGGCGGAACTATACGGATAACGGAGAGAACAACATAGTTTTGACTTGAAAGGCAGTTAACAAGACCGAGCGAAAAATGAGGAAATGCAAGACTGATTAATTTTTCCAGTATTTTGGCATAAAAAGTTGCCGTGAAAGAAATGAGGTACGTGGGAAAAGAAAATAGCAAAATGGAACTGCTAAAGTGTGAAAGTGGAAGTGCAAATGACAGAGACAAGAGGAAGACGGAAATATCTGTGGTTGGACGCCTTGTGCAAGATGCATGAAGATTTCTACTTCTCTGGTTTGACGGTTTTGCCCTATCCCGTCTTTCGGCTTGTCAACTTCGCAGCATCAAGCGATCACATTGCTTCGTCTTCCAGTGAGATCCGCAGACATATGCAATGCGTAATCTACCCGACGAAAGCCATGAGGATGATGTTTATAAAAAAACGGATTGTGGACAACGTTACTGGCAAAGTGCACGTCAAACAAATTTCGCACTCAATTTGAGATGAATACGTTGCGAGCATGAACAGTATCGTCGATGTCCGCTGTCCCCACGACGGCAGCTCTATCAGTATCACATAAATGCAACGAGCATTACGAAATTTATCTATCGTCTTCACCAGTCGCTACGGCCCAAAACCAAAAATGACATCCTGGTAGAGCGTGTTCATTCTCCGAGTTAATCGCGCAGATCCGATCTTTAATGAACGACTGCAGGATTGGTCAAGAGCAGAACCGTTCAACCGCGCTCTTCATCCTGGTTGACTAGGTTTCGGTCATGCGATGCGTATACTTGGAGCACATTGCGTTCCCCCAGGTCTTCGGTCTGTGGTCCTGGGTGCCAAATGGCTCAACCTTGAATGGGCGTCTGCTGTCGATCGACTGCAGTGAGGGTCGGGCAGTCATTACACGGTGAATCAGCGATACGGAACCGCATGAATAAGTACAAGTAGAACGCGAGCTGGGAGCCACCCGGACATATGCCCAACTGACCTATCGGCTAACTGCGTTTGAGTTCGATCAACATCAACCGTCGTATCCGACGAGATCCGTTGTGTGCTCCACAGTATGGTTGTACAGGGACGGTGACTTCCGCGTGATTTTACTTATGGTGATAGCAGACTTACAGAGCACCTACCGCCCTCTCTCCTCTTCCCCTGCCTGGGCCCCGTGCCAAGACGGAGTCATGATGACCGGAGGCGAGAGAGGCCGCAGGGGGCTTGCACAGCGTAAACCGGCACCCCTGCACTCCCTTGTCCACAACAGATGATGATGAGGATTTGAAACAACAACAAGCATGCGGGGCGACTTAGATCCCGAATGGAGCAGAGTGAGCCTGCAAATGGGCCTACCATCGTCCCGAGTACTGATATTCGTTATGGGTTTGCATTCCCGATAAAGCCTGTCTACTTCGGCGCATCCACCGCGTGGCCCAATTTGGAGGCGATCGTTCAATGTACTTGCATACACAAGTGCACGTGAATTTGTGCACGACTGGAAGTGACCGATTTAGTCGGTTTCGATTTCATGTGGCTTGACAAGATGTCCGCTCAATAGTTTCTCTTCCTTTCATTTCGAAGGTTATTCCGAAATTGAAGTCGTCGCAGTCACAGCAGCAAGTGGTACGAAGATTAGGGGAGCTGCATACTGAGCGGCACGACATAGGCGATCCATTCGACTGGGTTTTTAATTATGAACACTGCGACGGTCCACAATTCCCAACGGGTGGGCCGTGTAGGCAATTTAAGTCTATGTGAAAAGTAAGCTTTTTATCGGTACGAATCCCTCTGGGGGTTTAATCTCAGTGGACAGTAAGTTAGTTTATATCAGGAATATCATAAGTTACCCGTCCGGGGACGCTGCGATACCGACGATGGTGACGGTGACTGTAAGTGCGGTTCACCATCGAAAACCGAGTTTTTAGACACTTAACGACTGCGTCGGACGGTAAATTTCTCTCATATTGTCGCATAGCAGTTTTTACCTTACTGTACCTCTCTCCGTTCATTGGTCACTGTCCATGAGTTCTACAGTTTAACAGTCCCCCAACTATTGATTCGTGGAGTGCGCAGGGAGCAGTGATCAACCTAACCCCTGCATATTCTGTTGGGCTGCAGATTACTATGGTTAGCGACGAATTTACCAATGACAACCAACGTCCTAAGCAGACCACCAAATTCCAGTCTGATCCATGTCACAGCTGTCATCATGATCGGTAGGGATAACAAATGTCTAATTTATTTCTCCCACAAGAATCCGCAGCAGAGGCCAGTGACTTCGGTGCTACTCTGCCTGGGGGAATTTCACCCTCGCACACAGGTATGCGTTTACCAAAATGGAATATTCTTCCATGCGAACATCAACCGTCGTCACAAATGTCGACGTCATCAAACTGCCTCATGACATAAGGGTGCCTCCCCTAAGGCGTGCATGCGCTGGCTGATGAGGTGTCAGGTGCAACAAATGAGAAACGATCAATAACTAAAGTTCCTAATTAGCGCCCTCATGAAGAGGCTGGATGCATTGCTTGGCTGTTCCGGAACGACTGTCTCGCCTGCTTTTTATATGCATGGGTTCCATAGAGGAACTGACGTGCTCAGCAGCGCACTCTCGGACACTGCATCCCAGTGTATGATATATTTCACACTTAGTAACCCTCGGGGAAAACACTAGCACATTACTGCACTCTTATTCCCAGCAGTAGCCGGTACGTACTAATCTACTCAACAACCTGTATGCTATATTTCACACTTAGCAACCCTCGGGGGAAAACACTAGCACATTACTGATCCCATATTGGCTGCACTCTTATTCGATTATATTACACATCAGCTGGCCGTCTGCGGCGGTCAGCAGGGAAAGGGGACCTGCTTCGGGCCCCATATACGACGAAGTACTGGGTAATTTAAGCATCATTGCTTCACTTGCAATATACTATGTAAACGTCTTCGCAAAATGGAATTTTGACCAGCGGTCACACCGCGTGAAACTTAAGAACTTAAAATTAAAACTTGACAATTTTAAAAGCAAGAGATGACCCTAGAAATAACCACAACGGGCAAACCACCTGGCGCAAGAGCGAGTGACCAAAAAACGCCGCATGCGGATGTGTTTCGGAGCGGTGAAGAGTGATTGGTTGAGATAGGAATATATAAGGCGGTGTAGCGCAGCTTTTGAACACTTGCGCGAGTGCTACGATGGCGTATGTTTCTGTCGCTGA